ACTGTTTTGGCCAGGTCTAAAACGGCCTCATTAATTGGAAGGGCAACCTTTGATACAGAGGAAGAGTGGAAGATATTGAGCAGTTGATGCTGGGTGTCTCTGATCTCCTCCAACTGTTTGTGAAGGGTGTCCACCACCCTCCTTGCCAGCTCCTGGAAAAGACGGACGTCATCTGCCAGAAATGATGGAGGAGGCACAACAACTTTGTCCGGGAAGGAGGAAGATTTGGCCTTAGGTACTCCTCTGTTCTGGCTTCCTCAATCTCCTGAGGTGGTTCAGAGGCCTGGATGCTGTAACTGACTGTTACTGTACTTAGTTCCCAACAGTCCGATGTTACATATGATCATGCTGGGCTGAAGGGCGATAGACATTCCAAAAACAAAAAGGGGTGATATATCAGTCTCAACTCCAGATCTATCACCCTCGGGCATACCTTCAAAAGGCCTGCCTAGCCCCGCTGCGATATCTATGAGAGCCTGCCTGGGAGACTGAGGTGGGAAGGAAGGGTTGGCATCACTTATAGCCCTTCCCTTTTCTTTTGTAGGGCTCTTGCCTGGGAGGCACCGCAAACTTGGGAGGCTGCTGGGGCCTGAAGTGTTTCCTGGAAGCTGGAGGCCTATAAAAGGCCCAAGGAGCAAAAGATGGCCATCAAGTCCTTGAAGCGTCGAGTCTGTCTGTTCCGAGAACAGGGAGGTGGCCTGAAAGGGGAGGTACTGGATGGACTGCTGCACTTCATGAGGGAGGCCAGATGACTCGAGCCACGAACAGCGCCTCATGGTGACTGCTGACACCATAGTCTTGGTTGCTGAGTCAGCTGCATCCAGAGCCTCCCGGAGGGAGGTCCTGGCCACAGTCTTGCCCTCCTCTAGGATGGCCATGGACCCCTGCATTTACTCCTGTGGCAGGGAGTCCTTAAATTTGACAATGATTCCCACAGATTAAAATCTTACATCCTGAGCAGGGCCTGCTAGTTGGAGATACTTAACTGGAGACTTCCCATCTAATAAACCTTACATTCAAACAGGTCCAGTCTCTTGGGCTCTATTTAGGAGGGTAGCACTCAACTGCCCGGTCTGACCTGCTCATTCACCACCACCACCAAGGACCCCAGTGGGGTGGGGGATGCGAGTAATACTTTGTTAACAGGCAAGACCACTCTCGAAGGAGCAGCTGCAGCCAGGATGTCTATTAGGCTGTGTGCTGACTCCTTAAGCTACTCAACTTCTGGGCCCAAGTTCACAGCTACCCTTTTCAGGAACTTCTGGTGGGCCCTGAAGTCATCCTCTAGGAGGGGGTTATAAGGGAATGCAACAGCCTCATCTGGGGATGACGAAGAGGATGCCTGTGCCAGAGGAGGGGCTCCCTCTCCTCCACCATGTCCACTGGGGCCATTTCCTGGACATCGGCACCAGGGTCAGTACTGGAGTCCGGGTCCAGAGCCAGGCGGGACGAGACAATAGTTTGCCTTTCTGACATTACGAAGTATGCGAGTACAGGGAGAACCCCTCAAGGATTCTAGTACTGCCACTGCATCAGCCAGTGGCCTGGTGGCCAGGCACCGGCAGAAGAGCCAGTACTGAAGTCTGGTTTTTAGGCCCAGTACCCACTTGCTCCTCCAGGTAGTGCCGGGAAACTGGGGACTGGCAGCGGGCTGGTGACCGTTGCATTCGGACCATGGAGGGTTTGTCCCTGGATGGTGCTGCGCTGGAGCTTGCCGCATCCTGCCCCTTTCTGTCCCCAGTTGCCTTGGCTCATGAGAGGCCTTGAGGGATCAGTGGGATTGGGAGGTACAGCAGGTCCTTTGCCACCTAGAAAGCCTCTGGATGGAAAAGAGCCAGCAGATGCCTGACCCCCTGGCTGCTCCTGGGAGTCAGTGATGGGTCCCGTATTGGACTCAGCGCCCTAGGCGGAGTTATTGGCACCATCAGAAACTCTGGAGAGAGCAAGTGGCCCGACCTGGGTCTCAATATGCTAGTCATATCCTGCTTGTCTCTCCTTTGCACTGGAGAACGCTATCTCTCAGTGCATTGTTTCTTATGCCTCTTCCTCTGCACCAGGGATGGAGAGCGGTGCTGGGAAGAGCCACATGCCTGGGAGCACACATGGTTGTCAGGGTGCTTGGCACTGATTCAGAACAGCTTGGCTCTGAGGCCGGTCTGAGGGCCACCTCCACAAGAATGGCCTTCAGTCGAATGTCTCTATACTTTCTCGTGCAGGGTTTGAAGTCTCTACAGATCTCACACTTTAACATGAGACTCCCCTAGACATTTTAGACAGCTAGTGTGAGAGTCACTAACTGGCATCGGTTTGCTGCACAAGGCACACAGCTTGAAGCCTGGGGACTGGGGCATGCCCAGCTCCTGGGGCGAAAAGTCTCACAACAAGAGGGACAGCTACTAACACTACTATATATACACACACTAACTCTAACTAAGAACTATGTACATGGACTACGATAACTATACAAAATACAAACAGAGAAAGTCCAAACCACTGGGAAAGGAGCCTTGCTTAGCAAGAAGAGTCGTTCCAGCAACCATCATAGACGGTAAAAAGAAAGAGGACGCGGGGCCTGCAGCACCATTTATACCAGTACATATGTGCACAACTCCAGAGGGCAATAGAACCAGCCCAACGGATACCATTGAGGAAAAAATCTCCAGCAACTGTGCATGTGGCGCACACACATATCCCCACCCACACACCTAGCATGGAACGGACATGAGCAAGCACTGGAAGAAGAACTGCAAACAGAAAAACAACAGCCTTAACTGACTGCTAATGGCTCCATCTCTAGCCGGGGCAGTTGAGAAGGAACTGAGGACAGTTAGCTCATGCATGTGGGCTAGCCTCATGGCGCAGCACGAGGAGAGACCGCCCAGGCACAGGCCCAATGGACACTGCTACTGAAGTTCTCTGCCCCATTAGCAGCACAGGGACACGGACACACCTACAGTGGAGCACCCATAGCAACATCATTCAAAGATGAACTTGTACCTAAGCTCTCAATTTTTAGTTCTGTGATCAGTATCTGTTTATCTGGTAGGACAAGACCTAGAAGAATTCCTCCGTGTTGGCTGCAAACACTTGAGTTAGGAATTTTTCATGCATGTTTAGAAATTTCAAAGATGTTTCAATACTGATAGCATGAGATCTCCAGCATGTGTCACTAAAACTGAAGTTCCACATGATCACGCAGCTTCCTCCCCCACTGCCCCACACACATTATAGACAGATGTGTAAGGAGGTGGTCATTCTGTTCCCTAGTGTGATTTGGAGGTCTATAACAGTCTCCAACTAATTTTGTGCTTTAAAGACATTGATCCAGAAGCATTCAAGATCATTTTCTTCCAAGCTATTAGTGACAAACAGGTAATGCCATTTTTTTACTTAAAAGTACCACTCCTCCTTCCCTTTTATCCACTTAATCCTTCCAAATTAGCGTTTAACTATTGAGTAAGATTCCCATAGCGTGAATCATCGCACCAGGTTTCAGTAATACCAGCTAGTTTTAATTTATGCTCATAAATGAGCAATTCCAATTACTTGTTTGTAACGGAGACTAACACTAGCCTATAGGCAATTCAAGAATTTCTTCTCTTCATGTTTTTGGTTCCTTGATCAATTTTGTTCTCAACATCTTGACTGTGTACTGAGTACTCACATTTTCCCCCTTTTTACCCTTCCCCTTTAGTATTAGTTTAACCCCTCCTGACTACTCTAGTTAGTCTATTCCCTGAGGAAATTGGTCCCCATTCTACTGAGGTGGAGACCACTCAAACTATACAGCCCCCTTGACCCACAGAAAGCGGACCAATGTTCCACAAAATCAACACCCTCAACCTTACACCACTCACCTAGCCAGCAGTTCACTTCCAGAATCTTCTGCCTTCTGTCTTCCTTCCAGGAAAGATCTCAGAGAAGACTGCTTTGACATTCCTTTTCTTCAGCATGCTTCTGAGCGCCCTGAAGTCATCTACTCTCCGCAATATATCAAACGACACAGAATGGGAGGAGGCGGCATAATTGCTCATCTGAGGAGGATCACGACTTGTTCAATGGCACTGCCTCTTCTTCAGCTCTCCTTCTAGAGGATCCTGGGGTACCAGTGGTTGCCCCTCTTGGAGGGTCCTCTTGAGTAATGGTATCCTCTAGAGAACTGGTCTCCCTATGGGATCCAAGGAGTCAAGAAAGTCCAGTCTTATGGGACATAAGGGAAGGGGGAGGGACCCCAAGAGTGCTCCTGCCAGAGGTGGTGTCGGATCAGTCATTGGTTTCTGGAGTCTCTTTCTAGGTATACATCTTAGGGGAGCAATGTTCAAATGGAAAGGTAGTGGAATCTTGGGCAGAGATCTCAAGCATCTGAGGAGGTGGTATCCCCGGTTTTAAGGAGGAGTGGGGGGTTAATGGTGTCTGCACTGCTGTTTCATTGCTTGCATCTGCAGGTTTGGAAGCAGCAGGGTGCATGTCAGTACTGCCAGGAGATCCCTCTTGGTACCTCTCAGTAGAGGGGATTCAGGTTCTTCAAACATTTGGAAGTCCTCTTGCAACAGAAACCTAGTTAGTACTGGTGAAGCAGGGCACTCAGTGGCTGGTTGCAAAACACAAAAACAGGGCGAGCCGCGCAAAAGCATACAGCATATGTGGAAAATTAATAAAACAAAATGAAAAGGTAAGAATAAAACAAGCAAGCTGGCTAAAACTTTGAGGCTAATGTACACAGAAAGACTCAGTCTCTAACCACAGGCAGCTGAGAAGGAACTAGAGTTGCGTCTGCCCACCCCCATATGACCTTGCATTGGACCATGAAGATAAACAGGGTGCAGGTGCAGGCCCTGTTACCAAAAATCTCCAAACAAAATCGCACTGGTGTGTGCACACCTGAAGTGGAGCACCTATAGGGGACACCTACTCAAAGAATTAAGATGTTTATCTCAAGTCACATGATGTATGGTATACAACAGTTTTGTACTGCAGAACAGAAATTATAAATAAATTACCTTTTTTAGTTTCCATAAACTTTTCATAACTATCTGGAAAGTCATCCTCTTGTTTTGATTTCTCTATTGGAGGTACAACAGCTTCACCTTCTTCCTCTTCATCTTCATTGAACCACATTTCTTCATCCTCCTCTAAGGCTCTTGCATCTCGGCGAAATCTGTTACTACGCAATATGGATGGGACGCTGTAAGAAACAACCACAAATGATTCAAGCCTTGTCGCTGGTTTACAATCAAACAAGGAACCATGAATGGTTGACACAGTATGGCTAAAGATCACCACAGAAGCAACCTGAAAAAAGTATAACTCACTGAAGCACAATACTCGAAGACTGTACTAGCTCATCCTGGAAATAATTTCTTGATGCCTTGAAATGAATTTAGTGGGTTGATGAAGGCAGTCTACATCAGGTTAGTTATTTAGATTATAAGTGTCCAGATAGAATGTACAAGAATCAAAGTGCCCAAAAGGCGAACTCTGCATGACAATGTCAGTAGTAAAGATTTCATAGAGGATTCTACTCTTGACCCTACCCAAGTTCTAGTAACCGCCGCTCCAAATTAGAGTTTAAGTTTAATGTCAAATATGTCAGGATGGTTTTAGAGCACACTGCAAGATGCAGCTGTGTGTTATGAGCTATCCAACAGTGGCTTAGGTTGCACCAATTCAGCTGCGCTGCTGTAAGATCTCATGTAGCTGCTCTATGCTGTCAGGAGAAAGCTCTGTCATCGACATGGCGCTGTGTACACTGCCACTTATGCCAGCGAAATTTATGTCACTCAGAGGTGGTTTTTTCCCCACACCCCTGAGGGACGCAAGTTTTGCCAACGTAAGTGGTAGTGTAGACATGGCCTTAATCAAATTTCTCTGATAGAAAACATTCCTTCCACCCTCAGCCACCCACCAATTTACTATCCAAGTTGGTCAGCTCTACAAGTCAGATTACTGTGTAAATTTAACGTGGAAACGAGAACGTGAAAAATAAAGTAATTCCACACACATCTAACTACTCTAGGGAATCCTCTAGAAAGAATATCCAGAAATGCTATTAGAATATTTTTGTTTTATTACAAAAGTGAGTTTCAAGATGTGCGAATAATACAGTACCTGTTCAATTTCTGATTTTGTCTGTCTTTTTCTTGCTCATATTTAGTCTTCAGCCCCTTGAATGTCTGAACATATTCAATAGATTCAAGTGCCTTATAAAAGTTTTCAACTATATGTGCGGTAAGTGACTTGATATCTTCCTGCATAAGCACAAAACAATATTTAAATCTCAAATGTAATAGTAAGATACAGAAGGTTTTCAGTAAAGGCTATTAGCTTTAAAAGTTACTCGACTTGTTTTTCCAAAATGAAAAAAAATTATTGCAAATGACAAATGAGAAAGTTACTTCATTTCTCTTCATGGAAAAAATTAAATAAATAAATCTTTGAGATCAACAGAATTGCTTCTAATGTAAATGGAAAATGGATGCTTGAATTTATCTGCTCCTTATTCTCACTTGCTGTCTCTTATCTGTGATATCAACGTGAGTGTTTTATACATGATTACGCCTTCATGTGAAAAATACAAGGCAAGAGCAAATAAACATGTAACATTCATATAAGAATCACAGAGTTTTAATATCCACTTTATATGTAATGTAGTTAATGTGGAACAGTTACCTCTCAGTCAGTCTCTAATGAATCCCACTTTATGGGCCTGATCATTTCTTTCTGTACTAAAATGGGCAAAGGGGGAAGAGTCAAAAAATGCCCATGTTTGAATGAACTGAAAACCCAATGCATTTTCTCTTTTGTGGGAAAGATAACAGCTACAGGTAGAAGACACTTTTCTCCTCATGCAAAGCCCAAAGATTCACTTGACCCCAACCCTATGGCTCTCAAGACATCCACACCAAACAAATGTCATCCCAGGTATTCCTGCCAGTCCCCTCCTTCCTCCCCAAGCAGCCCAAATAGCTTAGTGGTCGTGATGCCATTGGTGCCATTTTCCCATACCTTTCCCTACAAGGGTAGTGGGTAGAAGTAGCAGGCCTAAAATTAACATTGCTCTAAGCATAATGACAGGTTTCAGAGTAGCAGCCGTGTTAGTCTGTATCTGCAAAAAGAACATATGCATCCGAAGAAGTGGGCTGTAGTCCACGAAAGCTTATGCTCTAATAAATTTGTTAGTCTCTAAGGTGCCACAAGTACTCCTGTTCTTATTGCTCTAAGCAACACACACACACACACACACACACACACACCTCTGTACGTTTTTACAGCTATTACATCGGGGTGGGCAAACTTTCTGGCCCGGAGGCCACATCTGGGTGAGGAAATTGCATGCAGGGCCATAAATGTAGGGCTAGGGCAGGGCGGTTGGGATGGCGGGAGGGGCTCAGGCCAGGGTGTTGGGGTGTGGAGTGCAGGGTGCAGGCTCCGGCCCGGCGTTGCTTACCTGGAGTGGATTTGCGGTAGCAGCAGCGCTAAGGCAGCTTCCCTGCCTACCCTGGCCCTGCTGCTCCGGAAGTGGCTGGCACCACATCCCTGCAGCCCCTGGTGAGGTGTGGGGGGGGGAGGTGCGGGCAGAGGGCTCTGCGCGCTGCCCTCGCCTGCGGGTACCTCCCCATAAGCTCTCATTGGCCGCAGTTCCCCATTCCAGGCCAATGGGAGTTGCGGGGGGCGATGCCTGCAGGTGAGGGCAGCGCGCGGAGCTCTCTGCCACCCCCCTGGGGCTGCTGTGCCGGCTGCTTCCAGGAGCAGCGTGTGGCTGGATCCAAAGCTCTGACGGGCCGGATCTGGCCCGCGGGCTGTGGTTTGCCTACCCCTGTATTACATGCCAATTTCAAGAGGAGAATGTTAACCAATTCCCACCCCCCAACTTCTTGGCCAGACATGCTCCCTCAAGTCCTGCAGAACCCTAAACATGCCCATTTTCTGGATAAGGATTGCCAGCCACTCAAGGTGTTAAAGCATGCTGTATTTACTGGCCTCTTTCAGTCTGCAAACATCAAAGTGGGTCTCTGAACAACCTCTTGGTCTGACTTTGTGGACCTTCGGGGCACACTGCAAGGCCCTTCTCTTTACCCAGCCTTTGGGAGGGAAGCTGAAGTAGGCTGTGTCTACTTTGTTTTTCAGCATGTAATTTATGTTAAATTAGACTCCTTTAGACCTATATTCACACCCACTTGCTGATAGGCAATTTATGCCACATAACTTCTCTGAATTTCATCCAGTAACTATGCAGTCGATTAGTCAGAAGGATGTCTTTCTAAAAGACACAGGTTTACATCCTTTGTAACTTGTCTATTTTGGCCTCAGTCTGGAAGTACAATTTATGTGTGGGTGAGAAATAGGGATTAGAGGGGAGTAAAACGGTAGTCAGAATAAAGAAGTATTTAAACTTCCTCTTTCCTTGTTACACAGCAGGTAACAAAATTACTGCCCATGGGTAAGTGGAAGGCCTTTCATTTCTGACTTTTCTGGTCAGAGAGCTGCCATATTAGGTATCTAAAATGTTCATTTAATAAAAAAAGGAAGTTAAACTCAAAAAGTCCCCATGCATACTGGTAACAGTTGACATTTACTCAATGAAAACTTTTGTGATAGCAACTCTTACACCAGACAGCTGACTGATGAGAGCACTATTACTCGTGCTATTTTTACTTCATGATGATAGTAGGATCACTATCACTACCACTACATGTATTCAAAGTTGTTCAACCACCTATTAGGAATGGTTTAGGAAAAATAAAATCAAACCTCCTGAGTTGCAAGGAGACTAGAACTCCCTTTTCACTACAACACTTTGATTCTAGAACAAAAGCACTTTTTCCAGTTTAGATGAATAAGAAATTATAGTTTTAGTCTTAGAAGACATTTTACTGATTTAAAGATACCATCTTAGATCCAAAGTGATATGCAAGACCTACAAATATAGGATAGTCTTGTGGGAAACAGCTACAGGTAGAAGACAATCTTCTCATCTCCCAAAGATTCACCTGACCCCAACCCTATAGATCTCAAGGCACCCACACCGAACAAGTATCATCCCAGGTACTCCTGCCAGTCCCCTCCTTTCTCCCCAAGTGGCTTGGTGGTTGTGATGCCATACCTTTCCCTAGGCAGTGGGTAGAAGTAGCAGGTCTAAAAAAGAGGGTTACACGCCTTTGTAACTGTTAGAGATGTGTTGCTCATATCCATTCCAATTAGGTGTGCGCGCGCCATGTGCACGGCCACCAGAGAACTTTTACCCTAGAAACACCCAGTGGGTCGGCTGTGGAGCCCCCTGGAGTGGCCCCTTCATGGCACTGGATATATACTGCGGCCAATCCAGCGCCCCCCTCAGTTCCTTCTTGCCGGTTACTCCAACAGAGGGGAAGGAGGGCAGGTTTGGAATGGATATGAGCAACACATCTCGAAGAACAACAGTTACAAAGAAAAGTAACCGTCTTTTCTTCTTCGAGTGCTTGCTCATATCGATTCCAATTAGGTGACTCCCAAGCCTTACCTAGGCGATAGGGTCAAAGTGAAGTACCGTGGATTGTAGGATTGCCCTACCAAATGCTGCATCGTCTCTGGCCTGTCTAACGATGGCATAGTGTGAGGCAAACGTATGCACTGAAGACCAAGTAGCAGCTCTGCAGATCTCCTGGATTGGCACCTGGGCCACGAAGGCTGCCGAGCCTGAGCCCTTGTGGAGTGAGCGGTGAGATTGGAGAATTGCTTCCATTTAACCATAAAAGTATCCTGAGTGGAAGGTTTCCTGCTGCCCAACAGGACCTGCTGCACCAAACGAGAACAGAGGAGTTCAGAGTGGCTCAGCCATGCAGCATCTATGCCGTGAGGCGGAGACAGCACAGGTCGGGGTGACAGAGGCGGCCGCGATCCTGCGTGATCAGGTCCGGAAAGAGAGGCAGTGGAATCAGGGCATCCACTGAGATCTCCAACAGCGTGGTGTACCAATGCTGCCTGAGCCATGCCGGGGCGACCAGAATCAGTCGTGATCTGTCCCTGCACACCTTGATCAGGATCTTGTGTACAAGGGGAAACGGTGGGAAGGTGTAAAACAACCTACTCGTCCACGGGAGTAGGAAGGCATCTGTGAGAGCCCAGGGAGGGACCCTGGAGGGAGCAAAACGCCGGGCACTTCCCGTCGCTGCGCGAGGCAAAACAGGTCGACCTGGGGAAACCCCCACTTTAGGAAGATGGAGTGGACGACATCGGGGCGAAGCAACCACTCGTGGGATTGGAAGACCCTGCTGAGGTGATCCGCCAACGTGTTCTGGACCCCTGGGAGAAACGACGCCACCAGGTGAATGGAATAGGCTACGCAGAACTCCCAAAGTCAAATGGCCTCTTGACAGAGGGGGGAGGAATGAGCCCCCCGCGCTAGTTGATGTAGAGCATGGCCGTGGTGTTATCTGTGAGGACCACCACACAACGATTGTGCAACTGCTTCTGAAAGGCTTGTCGTGCAATATGTACCGCCATCAGCTCCCATACGTTGATATGGGGGGAGAGAGAGAGAGAGAGATCGGATTGGGCCGATAGACCTTGCATCTGGATGTCCCCAAGGTGGGTGCCCCATTCCAGGGCTGACACATCCGTGACGAGGGACAAGGAGGGCTGAGGGGTGTGGAAGGGAACTCCTTCACATACCACCCTTGGGTCTAGCCACCATTGGAGGGAGGTGAGGACCTCTTCCGGGACAGTGACCACCAGGTTCAGGCTGTCTAGTAGATAGATGTCTGGCATGTTTGGTCACGTATGTGCAGGAAGCCATATGACCCAGGAGACTCAGGCACGTTCTTGCCATCAATGTTGGGAAGCTTTGAAGGCTCTGGATGAGGCCCATCAGAGCGTGGAAACAAGCGTCCAGCAGGAGGGCTCGGGCATTCACAGAATCTAGGATCTCCCCGATAAATTCTATTCTCTGGGTTGGTTCTAGAGTCGACTTCGCCACATTGATGAGAAGACCTAATCGAGAAACCGTGTCCGTGATCACTTGAATGTGGGACTGCACCTGTTCTTTGGTGCGACCTTGGATGAGCCAGTCGTTGAGATACAGTTATATCTGTATCCGTCTCTGATGAAGGGAGGCTGCCATGACTGCCATACATTTGGTGAACACCCGGGGGGACCAGGGAAAGGCCGAACGGAAGGACCGTGAACTGGTAGTGTTCACTGTTGACCACAAAGTGGAGGAAGCGTCTGTGCGCCAGATGGATTGCTATGTGGAAATATGCATCCTTCATGTCAAGGGCGGCGTACCAGTCTCCAGGATCCAGGGAAGGTATAATATTGCACAAGGAAACCATGCGGAACTTCAACTTTACCATGAATTTGTTGAGTCCGCGCAGGTCCAGGATAGGCCGAAGCCCGCCCTTTGCCTTGGGGATTAGGAAGTAACAGGAGTAAATCCCATGTCCCTTAGCTCCCTTGGAACCTCCTCAATCGACCCCATGGATAGGAGCTGTTTGAACCTCCTGAATGAGTTGCTCGTGAGAAGGGTCCCTGAAGAGGGATGGGGAGCAAGGGTGGGGAGAAAGAAAATTGGAGAGAGTATCCCCTTTCCACCATGCAAAGAACCTAACGGTCCGTGGTTATAAGGGACCAAGCACGGTGGAAACAGGATAAACGATTCAGGAAGGGTAGGGTAGGATCCTGACTGAGGCCCAGTACATTGTCCTCGAGCGTCCCTTCAAAAAGTTTTGCTTAAGGCCTGCTGAAGGCTTGGAACACTGGCCTTGGACGGGTTGGTGGTTGGATGGTTTCCTCCTGGTATTGCGCCCCCGCCTCCTATAGAAGTCCCGCCTCGGCAGAGGAGGAGGAGGATAGGAGCGTTGGGGCTGAGGTTTAAATGGCTTCCGCTGGGTAGCCGGTGTGAGCATCCCCAGCGATCGCATTATGGCTCTTGAGTCCCTGAGGCTCTGAAGCCTCAAGTCAGTTTTGTCTGAAAACAGGCCCTCTCTATCAAAGGGGAGATCCTGTAATGTTTGCTGAAGCTCCGGTGATAAGCCGGAAGCTTGCAGCCAAGATATACGTCTCATTGCAATGCCTGAAGAGAGGGTCTAAGCGGCAGAGACTGCGGTGTCCAACGAGGCTTGTAATGAGGTCCTCGCCACCGTCTTGCCCTCTTCCACCAGGGCCCCAAACTCCTCTCTGGACTCCGAAGGAACCAGCTCCTTGAACTTTAACATGGAGTTCCAAGAATTATAGTTGTACCGGCTCAGGAGCGCCTGCTGGTTTGCGATCCGGAGCTGAAGACCGCCTGAGGAGTAAACTTTGCGTCCAAATAAATCAAGGCATTTGGCCTCTTGATTTGGGTGCTGGGGCTTGCTAACCATGACGCTCCTTCTCATTCACCAAGGCCACCACCAGTGAACAAGGCTGTGGATGTGTACACAAAATAGTCATATCCCTTGGAAGGGACGAAGTACTTCCACTCCACCCCTTTAGCAGTCGGAGGAATGGACGCAGGCTGTGGTCCTGGCTGTGGTCTGAATGGTCCAGATGAGATTCCCCCAGACACTTTAGGCAAGAGTCATGGGGGTCACCCATTGGCATGGGCTTGGAACAGGACGCACAGGGTTTAAAACCTGGAGCCTTGGGCATGAGCCCAAACTACCGGCGGGGAGGAGGGAAAGATCCCTGCCAACCCTGCTAAATAGAACTATTTACACTATAACTATATAAAAACTCTATAACTATAAACTATTAAACTATTAACACTGTTGAGAGAAAAAACGCTAGGGAGAGTGGAGAGCAGCAAAGCCGAGCTCCACAGTTCCAACGACCTTCACAGGCGGTAAGAAGGAACTGAGGGGGCAGTGGGTTGGCCGCAGTATATATCCAGCGCCATGAAGGCGCCACTCCAGGGGGCTTCACAGCAGACCCACCAGGTGCTGCTAGGGTAAAAGTTCTCCGACGGCCGCACACGTGGCGCACACACACCTAATTAGAATCTATATGAGCAAGCACTTGAACAATTAACATTGCTCTAATCAACACACACACACACAGTACATTTTACATGCTGATTTCAAGAGGAGAAATGTTAACTAGTTCCTAACCCCCAACTTCTTGGCCAGACATGCTCTCTAAAGTTATAGGAAAAGGATAGTCCAGCAAGATGCAAACACAAGACAAAACAAAAGACTTTTATACTGAAGTATTATAATAGCTAAACTTTTGTTATTGGTACTATCCTTTTTAGTGTGAAATTTTCTAGACTCTGCATTTTGTGTTCAATACATGAGATGTTACATGCCTAAAACTTAGTGTTTTAAACAAAACTTGCTTAAAAACTTACCACTCTGATGAATTCAAACAGTTCAATTACAGCCGAATTCAGCAGATTGTACCTAGTTCCATTATCCAAAAGAGCATTTATAACTGGCTCAAACAGGTTCCCCTTGGTGATATAACGGTTATAAAATTCATCCTTCAGGCCAATTATCCTCCTCATAAAGCGAAGAGCACCTATAAATTTAAAGAAAATTTAGAGATCTTTGATAATCATTGTACAATCCCCATTCTGCTCTTACTGAAATCAACAGAAAATCTAAGACTGACTTCAGTGGGAGTGAGACCAGCCCAGAGACCCACAACATCTGTTAAAAGGGTTGCAAAGTTCTTTTCAATACTTGTTTGCTTGCAGTTTTTAAAACACCTTTTTGAAAGGTTCAAAATAAGCATCTATTGGTTTGTCTTTTTCCTATCGGGCAAACCTTTCTTCCTTTCACATTTCTTGTTGCGCACAAACCAACAAAACTCTGGTTCCATTATTTTCTTGTTTACATGAAGCAGCAATAAGTGTTAGCCCATCTGATATAGAGATTTTATTGGTTCATTTGTGCACTCTTTCTGCTGTCTAGATCTGAGAGGCGAGCACAAAACATGTTAGGTCATTTCTTATGTACCATGGTGCATAAAATAGTAATTTAATTAATTCCCTACCAATAATAGTGGATTTTATGGTTTTATAATATCTCAGTTTCGGTGAGACTAGACACCTAATCATAGTTTATTCTTACTTCCCAATTCCAAAATGATCCATCCCACGGGGTGGAGGGGGAAGAGAATTACCAACCTCTCCTTCCACCACACAGTACTTGGGAATATTGGCAGGGAATATCAGTTGTTTTCACCTTCCTTTGGAGCACTAAGCAGGTGGGTTTCCTGCTTTTGCTAGTGGACTAGACATAAGTTCCTGAAGCCTTCTACCTTTGTGTTTCTGTTAATTTGACAGTTGTGTCACATTTTGGACCTAAATTACACGACAAGGTAACTTCAATAAAGAATAGCAACTTTGGTGGCTCACTGGATTTTTTAAAATGTGGATATTTACACACTTACAAATTAATCCAAGGCGTTGCATGTAAATTCAACAGATTCTGACCATGAAGTATTTCAGTGCTAAATGTATGCACACAATCTTTAAAACAAAGTAAATGACAATTTACTACTTACACAAGGCCAAAAATGTGTGTTTTGAATTCATCAAGACCAATACTCTTCTTAGCAAATCTTTGTTCATAATATAATTCTTGATGTGATATGTGTGGTGTTCCACACAAAAGGTGAGCAGCTCCAAAATCAAGGCAAGCAGCTGTGCTGTTTGATAATTATCTACAAGAAAAATTAAATGAACTAAATCAGGCACACAAAAACAAACCAAACTTTTCTACTCATCCACAGCTTATGACAAAGTAGTTTCAGCCTATTAACAGTTGAAAGTGAATAGAAATTTAATCAACTTGTTAATTTGACTTCTTAAGGAGCTTCCTAAACCAGCCTAGATACCTAGGTTATGCTTCTTCTCGGTCAGTAGGTGAAGACTGAAAACCTACTTGAGATCTTTGTCAGAGAACAGACTCCATGAAAAGACAGTTACCTTTCCGAAACTGGTGTACTTCAAGATGTGTTGCTCAGGTCTATTCCACAATAGGTGTGCATGCTCGCCATGTGCACCAGTGCCGGAAGTTTTTCCCTTAGCAGTACCAGTAGGGGAGCGCCCCTAGCAACTCCTGGAGTGGCGCCTCCATGGTGCGGTATAAGGTGCGCTGCACGCTCCCCCTGAACCTCAGTTCCTTCTTGCCAAACAACTCCAACAGAGGGGAAGGAGGGCGGGATGTGGAATAGAGATGAGCAACACATCTCGAAGAACACCAGTTACGGAAAGGTAACTGTCTTTTCTTCGATTGATTGTTCATGTGTATTCCATAATAGGGGATTCCAAGCTATATCTGTTGGAGGTGGGAAGGAGGTCAAACTCTCAGGATGGAGTATGGCCCTGCCAAACCTGGCGTCCTCCCTGGTATGGGAGACAATCGCATAATGCGAGGTGAACATGTGAACTGAAGACCATGTGGCAGCCCTACAAAGGTCCTGAATAGAGACATGGGCCAAAAAGGCAGCCGACGAGGCCTGCGCCCTAGTCGAGTGTGCCTTCACAATTGATGGCAGAGGGATTCCCGCCAGGTTAAAGCAGGTATGGCTTCACAAGGTGATCCAGTTGGAGCGCCACTGAGTGGAGATTGGCCAACCTTTCATGAACCACTTAGTCCACTCCAGGTAAAAAGCCAGAGCCCGTCTCACATCCAGCGTGTGGCGGCAGTGCTCCTCACTGGACGCATAGGGTTTGGGGCAGAGGACCGACAGAAAAATATCCTGACCCATGTGATAGGCGGAGACCACCGTCGGGAAGAACAAAAGGTGTGGACAGAGCTGGATCTTGTCTTTATGAAATACCATATACGGGGGCTGGGAGGTCAAATTGGAGAAGGGGAGCTTTACTGAGGGTGGATCTGGATGAGGACTGCCAGGGTGTCTTCTCAAAACCGCCTTTTCCCCGCCTACTTGCCCTTGGAGGACCCAGGCAGGCCGAGACCGCCTCTGTGGGTGCTCTTATAGTCCCGCGACTTTTTATAAGTGGTCTCGTATTTTGAATGGGTGGCCTGGGTGGGACTCTGCTGCACTTGAACTTGGGTTTAGCCGGACCTGGAACACAGACCCAGAGTCTGGAGCGTCGTGCGGGAGTCTACCAGGCCAGGCAGCTTTGTATCCGTTTGTTCAGCAAACGGAGCTTTGCCGTCAAATGGGAGGTCCTGCAGGGAGGTCTGCGCCTGGCTGGACAGCCCAGAAAGCAGGAGCAATGACGCCCTTCTCATGGACACCGCGGAGGCCATGGACTGTGCGGCCGTGTCCCCTGCATCCAAAGCTGCCTGCAGGGTTGCCCTGGCAGCCACTGTGCTGTCCTCCACCAGCGCTTTGAACTCCTTCCTGTCACTCTCTTGGAGCAAGTCCTTGAACTTGGGCAGGGAGCCCCACAGATTGAACTCATACCGTCCCAGGAGAGCCTAGTGGTTTGCCACCCGTAACTGGAAGCTCAAGGACGAATAAATTTTTCTTCCAAATGAGTCCAGCCTCCGCGAATCTTTATTTTTCGGGATAGGGGCTGGTTGGCCCTGCAGTTCCCTGTGGTTGACCGACTCGACCACCAGGGAGTTAGGAGCAGGGTGGGTGTACAAGTATTCATGCCCCTTGGCGGGCACAAAATACTTGCGTTCCGCTCTCTTAGAGATGGGGGCCAATGAGGCCGGGGTTTGCCACAGGGCATTTGAAGTTTTCGCCACCCCTTCATGGAGAGGCAAGGCCACCCTGCCCGGTGCCGAGAAGGACAATACATTAAACAGGGAGGCTCCTCCATCTCCTTTGCCTGGAGGTGGAGACTTTAGGGCACACCAAGAACTCTTAAAAAAGGGTGGCATCAAGTCCTCCTGTGGGACAGAGGGACCGTAATCACCTTATCAGGGGAGGGTGAGGAGGCCGGTGCGGTACTGTGTGTCCCCACCAGCACCGGAGGGTCCACCATTGGTTGGTCTCCGGGCACAGTGCCGGGGATGTACCTCCCACCGACTCCTTCCTTGGAGGTCTGGAGAGGGAGGCCGACGGCCCTTCTTTGGCTCCAGCCACCGAACAAGCCCCCAGCCACTGAACGAGCCCCCGCTGGGGGCTGCGTCGGTGGTACCATTGGGCCAGCCACTGGGCCCGGTGCCACTGCACCTGCTGTGGCACTGGTGGAGCCGGCTATTTGGCTTGGCTGGCCTAGCCCATCGATGGACGACTATTATTTTTCGAGTGATTGCTCATGTGTATTCCACAATAGGTGTGCATGCTCGCTATTTGTACCGGTGCCGGAAGTTTATCCCCTAGCAATAGCCGTAGGGGAGTGCCCCTAGCGACTCCTGGAGTATAAGGGGCACTGCGTGCTTCTTCCCACCCTCAGTTCCTTCTTGCCACCAGTGAAGGTGCTTCGGAACTGCTCTGCTCCAGCTTTGTTGTAGCTCGTCCCCAGAACTGCTTGTTCGTTCAGTGTGTGGTACTTGTAGTTAGTTGAATTAGTTAGTTTAGTTTAGAGCGGCTGGACCAGGGCATGCCCCGTGCCCCAGGGTTTTAAGTTGCGCAACACTTGTAGGCGACCTATGCCAGTGAGTGATCCGCACATAGACTGTTTACACTGTTTGGGGGAACCCATCTCAGCAATTGCTGCAAAATTTGCAAGTCGTTTAAGCCTCGGACCAAGTGAGAAAGGGACATTAGGCTCCGGGCTATTCTGATGGAGTCAGCACTAGGCAATAAAGGAAAAAAAAAGTATTAACCAGCTACAAGCCAAAAACTAGCCAACAAGCAACTCACAAGTCAATTAAGCCAAAACCAAGCCCAATTTCTGCATTTTTGTCCACGGGTTTGGCATGTCTGTGTTCGTTCTCTCTCTCAGATTCTTCCATCCTAAGTGCAGGACTCTGTACATTATATTTATTTATTTTTATTATATATATATATATACACACACACACACACACACTTATTTAATTTTTCCTGGAACCTAACCCTCTCCCCTCCCCACCCTATTTATATTAATTCTTGTGGGGAAGCTGGATTCACTTAACATTGTTTCGCGTAAAGTAGCATTTTTCAGGAACATAACTACAACATTAAGCAAGGAGTTACTGTACAATTCTGTAAGACAGCCTGAAACAAAGTCAAATGAAAATGAAGGTTCTTTGTGTATGTTGGCTGGGAGGAAGTAGAACTGTAATCTAAACTAATAAAGGAGACTTAAAAAACAAACAAACAAACAAAAAACAGATTCAAGTTTGGAAATATTTTATTTTGGAGCCTTTTCCTAATATATACTGAACAAACCCCATGCTGACAAAATACATTTCAAAATATAAAAATAGACTACCACTTACCAGGACAAATAGTGTTACTCTTGTTGGACCCAACTGCTGCATCTGATATAAAAATAAGTGTCAATACAGATTTTCAAAACACTGTAAAGTGCCTATTTAATAATGTAGATAAATCATCAATTCCATTACTAGCTTCAATCAGCTGATGGCACAATTTCTTGTGTTAATAAGTTATACAAAAGCATTATAACAATAAAGACTTATATGCCAGGCAAGATTTCGGTTATTTTTTTCTAATTACAAAACCTAAAAAAAAAAAACCAACACAACAAAAACAACCCCACACTTAATGGAGTGCTTGTTATATTTAATTTAACATTTAGGAGTAGTGTTAATCTTTAATCTAAATTAATTATTTCTACAATAAAAAACCTTATAATTTAGATTATAATCAGCGGGTAGTCTAGACGTACCCTAAGCTTTCTTTTTTTAAAAAACACAATTGTGACTGTGAAGATCACTTTCCAGTCATGTCTGAATGGTTGACTTAAGCAGTGCTGTTTT